AATGTGAGAGACTGATGCCTAAACTAGGCGACGAACCTGTATTTCAGGTCATCAGGTCTCCCTCCCAGTTAAACAAATACAAAAGTATGTTATCTTGGAATACATATTTTAACAATAATGATACGTTATAATACATTTGCGCGTATATACATAATTTAACAATAATGCTACGTGTGTGTGTGTGTGTGTGTGTGTATGTGTGTGTGTGTGTGTGTGTGTGCGTGTGCGTGTGCGTGTGCTGAGTGAATGCAAAAATTACAACATTTACACATGTGATTTAAAAAATATCTTCCGTATATTTATAGTCCGTCTTCAGTAACCATTCATGGATACATTTTTTAGCTTTTATTTTAGGTAGGAAGTGAATATTAAGTTCCTTGTTAACTTTATTATACAGGTATCCGCCAAGATAGCAAAAAAAATCTTCTGGAAAAGTAGGTACAATGGTCATAATGAGAAGTACACACTCGGTCTTTGCGTCTCGTGTGCTGTGTATTTTTTTGGTCATATTTTAATTGTGCATGTTTTTTAGTACTGTGTATATAATAAACAGTTGCCAGACTGTAAGAACTTTGGAAATTTTATAAAGTTGACTGGTTGGAAATTTAAATGGAAGAGAGTTACTTACTTTTAAGATTAACCTTTGTGATCTTTCGAGGGGTAGAAGAGATGATTTGGTAGCCCCACCCCAGCACGTAATACAATATATTATTAAAGATTGGCATAGAGCAAAATAGACAGATTTAATAGTGTTAGAATCTGCTACGCAACGGAGTTTTTTAAAAATATATGTTAATTTCCGTATCCTATTTGAAAGTGAATAAATATGCTCATGAAAAGTTAGCTTATCATCCAACAAAATGCCAAGGTATTTAATTGAATTCACTTTTTGCAAAGGTGTGCATGAACATGTCAGACAATAAGGAAAATTGCAAGAATGAGCAGTAATAACATGGTCCGTGCAGGTTGCATATTTATTATTATGTTTGGAGAAGGACAAGTACTTTGTTTTATCCCCGTTGAGGGTTAACACATTATCGCGTAGCCATTTGGACACTCTGTTTAAGCCAATCTGAGCGAAGTTAAATACATCTGGCCATGAATCACCAGTAAATAGCAGTGCTGTGTCATCAGCAAACGTAACTATTTTTCCGTTCATTAGTTTCAGTTTGCAGAGGTCATTAATGTAAAGAAGAAATAAGGTAGGGCCAAGAATACTTCCTTGGGGAACACCATAGCAGATGGGAAGCTCATCACTAACATGTTTATCAATTTTTACCAACTGTGTTCTATCTGTAAGATAATCTCTGAAAAGCTGCAACGGTACACCCCTTATACCAAGCTTCTCCATTTTATGCAACAATATGGGAACAGAGACCGTGTCAAAAGCTTTAGCCAAATCTAAAAATATTCCTATTGTTTTCTTTTTTTTCTCGAGGCTAAGTACGATAAACTCAATTAGTTCATGAACCGCATCAGCTGTAGATTTACCGGAACGAAAACCAAATTGATTTGGCGAAAGTATGGAATTTTTATCAAGAAAATTTTTCAACCTATTATTCATCACACGTTCTAGTATTTTAGATAGTGACGGTAATATAGATATTGGTCTATAGTTACTTGCACAGTCTCGGTCTCCATTTTTGTAAACAGGATGAATGAGGGATTTTTTAAAAGCTGTTGGGAATATGCCATAAGTGAGGGCCAGGTTACATACGTAGGTAAGTGGAGGTACAATAAATTTTTTGTTTTGTTTTATGAAGCCACCGGATATTTTATCCCAGCCAACGGCACAGTCACTTCTAAGATTATTTATTTCAGATGTAATTTCAACTTCATCAGTAGGCAAAAGAACCATGGAATGGGCTAAGCTATCAATAGTAGGAGAAAGATTCAATTCAGAGTTCTCAAGAATTTTTTCGGCCAGTTGTCTACCAATATTAGCGAAATACGTGTTGACATTATTAACTGATTCTTTCGGCGTGGTACATGTTGATAATAGTTGAGTGGAAGATGTTTTTGCGGCATTTCTGTTGGTTATGCTGTTTATTACCTCCCAAAGCTTTCTATTATTTGCACCTGCATTTCTGATTTGATTTCTTTCATATTCATTCTTGACTTTTTTTAGAAGTTTGTTGCAATAATTTCTATATCTCGTAAAAGATAACTTAAGTACTTCATTTTCCGGCTCTTTTTTTAATTTTTTTATGTAAATTATCCCTATGCTTCATACAACGTAAGAGTCCTGGAGTAATCCACGGCTTTATAATCTTTTTACGACTAGATAAAACAATCTTCTTAGTATTAGCGTCTAAGACTTTTTGTAAGGACTGGACAAGACAATTAGCGGCAATATTCGGATTTTGTGTAGAGTAAACTAAATCAAAATTCATTTTAGCAAGATCAGTTGTAATTCCACTATAATTTGTACGAAATATTGTCGTCATTTTGTGTTGTTTTGGGACCTTCTTATCGAGAAAAAATGCTACAGTCTCATGATCAGTTAACGCAGAATTTACAACAAGAGTTTTAGCTGGTAGTTTGGTTTTTAGCATAACATGATCTAGGCAGCTATCTTTACGGGTAGGAAAAGTATGAGCAGGTAACAAGCCGTGTAAGGCAGTCACATTTAAGTAGTTAAGCTTATGTAGGTCTTGTTGAGAGTCAATAATATTGATGTTAATATCTCCTACAAGAACAACATTATTAACATTCGCTGTTTTTACAAGCAAAGAATCGAGTGAATTTATGAATTCAGTACAATCTCTAACCGCCGGAGAACGATATAAAGCTAAAATAACAATATCTTTATTTATCTTTAAAAGAAGACAATTTGCGTTTCGGAAGCAAATTTCTTCAAACGATGCATTAAGATCACTGTTTATATATGCGACAACGCCATCATTTTGTGTGTAGTTGTTTTCTGTACTAAATGTCTTATAACCGTCAATAATAGGGAGTGTGCGAACACTTTGCAGCCAACACTCAGTTAAGATAATAACATCCCAGTGCACTTTCGTTCTCACAATTAATGAAAGAAACTCAGAGAAATTGTGTGATATACTCCTGATATTTTGACTTAAAATTTTAAGGGACGTTCTAGGGCTTGGATCTAAATGGAAACAGTCCTCAACATCGCAGAGCAGATTCAGAAACCGAATAGGAGTCCAACTCATTTACTATTTTATCTAATTTATTTATCATTCAAATGTATATAAAAACATTTGTCCAAATCGACAATACACCAAAAAAACCGCAACACCTACACCAATAAACCACAGGCTTTTAATATATATCTTATCACATAATGAGACTATGTAAAATATTAGTAATGTTCTCCCACTGGCTAACCTATTTATAACATCCCGTAAAAAATTATATATAGTATAGAAAAGTTTTAATATTATGACGGTATTATATGAAACACTTATAATACATACAAAAGCGCGAGACATCGAGTGGCTTATTACGAAACTACCACTAAGACCATTCAGCAGTAGATTAAATGCCGGCTGACTATATTTAGCACTATACCCACTGTATTCATCACAAAATAGGGTGCGCTTAAAATTTGTAAAAGTTGTTACGTTAAAAGACGCTGTGAAGTAATGGATAACCACTATTACGTTTTTTCTGACTATTTCTAAGTAACAATTATGAAAATTTTGCTTATGCATTACGTAAATAAGTAATGTGTATATGTATGAAAAAAAAAAAAAAAACCACCCAAAACACCCCAACCCCCCCACCAACAATAAAACCACCCCCCCCCCCCAACCCCCCCATCATTCTTTTTTTTTTATCTAAAAAAAAACCCCAATCTAGATGCCCAATAATAGTTTATGAAAATAAATGTGCTCAGTCATAATTTTGTAAATAAGATAACTTTGAAATGTGTATATTTTCGATGTGAAGTAATGTATGTATATAATTGAATGATGTATTGACTGCGTATGTATTTGAAAGTTATGTATGAATGATTGTAGGTAACATAAGTGAGTTTGTGTATTATGTGCTTGTACAGAAAACAAATTACTAATTTTTACATAAAATATTACAAATTCGTTAAAAAAATGATAGAAATGGTATAAAATTATAAGTAAAATAATATAAATTAGGAAAAAAGTAGAAGTTACGTTACGAAACATGTTACAGTATAGTCATTTCTGTCGTTGCAGCTTCATCAGATCTTCTTCACCATCTAGTCGTATATAGTTAGCACCATCAGTTTTACGTAAATAGACCTTACCACGCGTCGTCCAACAGTAAGCAAAACCGTTGGTCTTGGCAAAGTCTCGGGCCAAGAAGAATAATTTTTTTACCTTTTGTGTTAAGTTTTCGGAAACAAAAATAGGTATTGGAGTGCCTGTAATTTTTAAATGTGATGAATTTAATTTATCGTCTTTTCTCTCCTTGTTAAATTTTTTGACACTTTGCAGGATAGTCTCCTTTTGAAGGACAGAGCTGAACTCGACTATTAAGGTGTTTTGTTTATTTTTATTGCTTGTGCGAAAGATATCCCGTATTTCTGCAGGTTGCATTGATAATTTGAGCAACCGAGCAAGATTTATTACATAATTAGCTAAGTCTTCCTTTGATTCCCCTTGTTTTATCGCATCTATATACGATATCATATATCGTAATAAACACTCGCCTCAGGTGTTCTACTTTCCGCATCCGTAGTTACTCATTACTATATTTTCGTGGGGTTATGGGCGTATATATATTAGCGTGGTTTTATCTGATAGGTTTTGCGCTCTCGTTAAACTATTGTAAATTTTTGTGATAACTTCGTCACCTTAGTTGAATTAAATTACTTGAATTAAAAATAGGAACTCTCTCTCTGATATATTTGACAAGCATGTGATGTTGGTCTTAAGTGTTTTTTTTACCATAAAACTTACGCAATGAAGTCCAACTATCTCACATATGTAGCAGAAGATATTACCTTTATGTTCTTATATGGTACACCCCGTTTTTTGACCTTTGTTAGCTCTATAATGTTTCAGTTTTCTATCACGTTGTTGAATTCTAGTACCCTTGCCGCTGAAGGTTTGTTTTCTTGTTTATATTTTCATAATGTATGTTACTTTGTTTGTTTTTATTTTTATAACTTTTATTTGATAGAGAGTTGTGGTCTTCTTTCCCACGGTGAACAACCGGCTTGGATGCAATTTATTGTTGATTTATTTGATAATGTTGTGTAGTATGTCTTTTTCGGGTTCCTGTTGTGAGAGGTAGTTATTAGTTTTTTGCCAGCTCCAACATTGATGAAGCCTTTCCTTGCCCTGTATAATTTAGTATGTTTGGTTTTTATAAATAGCAATGACATCGTAAAACTGTACGCCACATTTGTATTTACTTATTCAGTCATCAATGTGAAATTTAAGCTTTATGGCATTACCCTAATCTTGAGAGAATTTTTTTCAAAACTTATTTATATCATTAACCTCTGTATAACAGGAAATAATTGTAAGGAGTCTAATTCTCCTATGTCCTATTTTAGTATTGATTCATAGTTTGATGTATCTAGCGTTCAATTTTACAATTTTGAAAATTAAATCTGTCTACTGAAAGTTTGCCGATGATCACCCTGACTTCCAAAACTAACACAGCGCCTGTCTGCTGTAGCAACATTTCGATCGACGTGTTTCTGAATGACTCGGATTGTACGTCTGAAGTTACTTAATATTTCTCTATTTTTTTGAAAAATTGTGTGGTTTTATTAAGTGAAGAAAAATTGATTTTCAAATTAACCACTAAGTGGAAAGTTGATAGGTAGTTTTGTGCTTATAATTATGCATACAAACATTTTCTTTACGTCCAATAAAATATAACTGTAATGAATTCAAAAAAAAACGGAATAACCGAACACAAAAAAAAAGGGACCAGTGCGATAAACACTCCCCAGAGTAAGACGTTATTTTATTTGCAAGATCCATAGGCAGTGCAAAGTGAACCCTAATCACATTAACACTTAGAGCAGACCAAACCGCACTAATATATTAGAGTGGGGATATCGCAAAGAATACTTTCTACGGGGTGAACAAAATATTATGATTATGCTAGATTTCTACCGGATACTGCTATTATAGTGTATAGCAGTGGTCGTTAAACGCGTCTTACTTGCTGCTCCTGTAACCTGATCACTCGAATCTAACACCAGAGGCTACGTTTCTAAAAAAATACCATCATCAGTGGAAGAGTCACAATATATGCCTTGACAATGTCGTCACCGAGGGTGGTGTGTCCTCCTCCGATTCTAATCAGCAGCCCCCCTTATAAACTATGACAGACTTCCGAGGAAGATAGTTACGGCTCTCCACGTCAATCCCCGCCCAGCATCAGTGACACCAGTGCTTGTCTTGACATCACCCTGATGTTCTAACCAACTCAGCTTACCAGGATTGTCCACTCTTACTACCTGGGTACAACGCAAAGAATGGGATGCATATACGGATCAATATTTACCCTAAAGATTTGAACCTTAAATTAAAGGCAATCATAGGCGAAATCCAAGCATTCTTTAAACGTAAGGATTGTTCACTTAAAAAGCTACGTTTTTTATTTATTTCACAGATCTTTGGAATATTATAAAAGAAATTTCATACAATAGCTTAAAAATGGGTGGTGTAATAACACTTACAATTGGATCTCGGATCGCATACGGTATTGTATCTACTATAAGGTATTCTGTATATATTATAAAGTATTGTGCCCTTAAATTTTTTTACCCTTAATCCGTTTCCAGTGGTAACAAATCCCGATGACAGCTTGACTGTCGCAAACGCTTGTTTACCGAAGGACATTATATATGAATTTGCTAAGGCTTGGCTAGGTGAGGGCCTGTTAACCGGTAAAGGTACGTATTTTTTAAATCTGAATATATGATAATTATTCGTTTATATTAAAAGAAAATATTTAATTAAAAATTGTTATTTATGATATATTTTATCATGTGACAGCGAATAATTTGTTGTATTTTTCATTTGTTAAATATGTTTGCGCAGTATCAATATGGAAGCGTCATCGAAAATTGATTAACCCAGCTTTTAGTCAGATGGTGTTGGATGGATTTCAGGGGGTTTTTAACAGTCAGTCCAGACGCCTTGTTAAAGATTTGGAAGTGGAGGTAATACAATTTTTTAATATTGTTAAGTTTTTGTAAAAGCACTTGAGAATTATACATAAACTTAAAATAGGCAAAAGCCAGTTGAATACAGGTGAGGAAAGATGTTTCAAATTCGTTCTTCTTTAAATTTTACTACTGAAAAGAATATTAGGAGGTAAGGCTTAGCAGAAAAGCAAGGCAGTCAGACTATTTCTCTTATATGAATAAACATCTATACTCAGAACCATTTCAATTAAAATAAGATAAATATAAGGACCTGATGGCTGCGTGTAAGGATGAAACTATACCAAAAATTACCACAGCTAGTTCAAAAATTTGCTTGTAGTAGAAAACGAAAATTTTGAGACCGGAACTAATAATGACGACGAGGAGTTAAAACTTGCTGTAACAAGAGCGTATTATATACACTGTCAAACAAGCAACAAAAACTGATTATTTATTTACAGTGTCTTTATTTAGTAAAATAATCTTTGCTAAAGTTATAATGTCCCTCTAGCGCAATAGGTCACTTTAAAAATTAAAAGAAGTGAAACTTACTAAAAATATACGTATATCTTTTTACTAGTATTGCAATAAGAATTTTTAATTTATAATTTTGAAATAATTTTTATGCCGAATTCCGCACCGCATTTCTCCACACGAGAGTGTCTACAGAGTGTCTATCGATGATATAATTGACTGACTAAAATAACTGATATTTATGGTTTTTTGCATGGTGATAAGTTATGAATAAATATTTTAAAATGTTTTGTCTGTCAATACAAATAAAAATCTAACATAAATATCATTTACATACTTAAACTAGAACTGGAAATGAAGGGATTTCATGTGTACTCTTATTTAATAAAGTTTTAAATGGTTTACGGTCATACAATATAATTTGAATACTTTTTGTTGCTTAAACTATTTTTCGATTTGAGGGAAAATTTTCTCGGCTGACGGTAGGCTTCTTGGTTAATTGGTTGCTGGTTTGTTTTATTTTGCATCCATTTTTACTAGCGTTGTATTGTGTTATTTGTAGGTAGTGCATCTGTTTCGCGAAGTTTTACATTACTTCTTCTTAAAGTTGTTGTTGTTTCAATCCCATTAGATTTATCTTGATCGACAACTTTTCTTAAATAATTTATTAAAAGTGTATTTAACTTTTACCTCTGCGTCATATTTAAGGTATACTTTCTTCTTTTAAATTCCTAATGTTAAGAAACTCTCTTATTTATAATTGTTCCCAATTGAGTAACACAATTTAACAAGTCATATATCTTGTACAAAATTATTTTCTTTGGTAGATAAGCCACACATTTTATTGGTTGAATGAACACATTTAAAATACTCGTATTTAGGTTTGGCAGCTTATGCAAAATAGTTTAGTTTATGAAATTTTCTGTAAATTTTACCAAAAGCAAGATTGTCGTAGCTGCTGTTAACTATAATATATTAAACAGGCACTGACACGCACAACATTCACCTGGGTAGGAACATCGATATATATACAATATGTAACGTAATTAACGCACACTCTCAGACACCCCAATTAGTATATTATGTTGTAATCATAATACATACACTGAATTTTTAGTGAAACATTTTTATGCACTGATTATTTATCAAATTAGTTATACTAATTCCGGAAGAATGTTGTGGTCACAGTACAAATCCACGAACGCAAAGGCTTTAACGTGTTTGAAATAAAGTTCATTTTTCTTTATTTTTATTGAATGACAGAATTAGTAATAATACAAATAAAACTGCACTCTTAAAAGTCTTATTGCCTTAAGTTACGGTCCATTTCAGTTTGTTTTGGCTGTACAGATTTAGTGTGACTGTAATTTACGTAATTTTAATTATTTTTGGGATAAAAAATTACCTATATTAAAAATGATAGGAATCGATTCAGTAAACGATTCTGAACAAACTACTTTCTCAAAGTGAGTTAATTATGTTACGTCTTGTATATGGAATTATTTAGGTTTACGATGACCAAAGACCATTTATTTTGTTTATTTTTGCAATTTTTGATTTAAATAAAACCTCCAATCTTTCGGATAAAATATAGCTAAGATCACTTTTGGAATTGCACTGTCCTTTTGTGAAGGTAATTCGTGTTTCGGTATCGTTCAAGTAACCCTCTCAGCTTAATATAATATAAGGCAATTGTTTCGATATAACACGCATATCAATGTTATTAATATGTATAGTTAATGATTAAAAAAATTAACAAAATATTTACATTACAATTTGTTGTAGTTAGAATAAAAAATATTTTTTTTTAAAAAGGTACTTCTCAAATTGTTTTAATGTTTTGATTTGTGACTGCTACAGGTAGGAAAAGGTTCCTTCAACCATTTAGTTTACACGCAACGTAATTCTCTGGAAACTGCTTGTTGTAAGTACTTTTTTATTTATAATTTATCTTCATTTATAGTATCTAAATCCGATAAATCGCGTTATTCTACCTCATACATAATCGATATAAATATCCAGACCAGCGACAACGGGATGTAATATCTAATGCTGCGATCGCCAATCTACCTGCTAAGCCTGGCGATTATGACAATCTACCTGTTAAGCGTGGCAATTATGACAATCTACCTGCTAAGCGTGGCGATTATGACTATCTACATGCTAAGCATGGCGATTATGAAAATCTACCTGCTAAGCCTGGCGATTGTGACAATCTACCTGCTAAGCGTGGCAATTACGATAATCTACCTGCTAAGCGTGGCGATTATGACAATCTACCTGCTAAGCGTGGCGATTATGACAATCTACCCACTAAACGTGGCGATTATGACAAACTACCCGCTAAGCGTGGCGATTATGACAATATACCTGCTAAGCGTGGCGATTATGACAATCTACCTGCTAAGCGTGGCGATTATGACAATCTAGCTGCTAAACGTGGCGATTATGACAATCTACCTGCTAAGCGTGGCAATTATGACAATCTACCTGCTAAGCGTGGCGATTACGACAATCTACCTGCTAAGCATGGCGATTATGACAATATACCTGCTAAGCGTGGCGATTACGACAATCAACATGCTAAGCGTGGCGATTGTGACAATCTACCTGCTAAGCGTGGCGATTATGACACTCTACCTGCTAAGCAAGGCGATTATGACAATTTAGTGTTTCCATATGAGAGACCCATATTCAGAAGTAGAATATTACAGCAGTTTATGTTTGCAATAAGCTAAAATATGATAAAAGGAGAAAGAAAACGAATGTCTCTTATTCGCAATTCCAATATTATTACAGAAAGAAATGGTATGTAAGTTTGAGTAATTTAAGTAGTCCCAACGAAAGAATAACTTTGCGATAGGTCTTTCCAATCATAAATTCTCAGTATCAACTAGCTTAATAGTAGTCCAGATATGTCCCTCTTAAGTGAGTAATAATCAACACGATTAGAAGGCTGTGGGGCATTTCATCTTAGTCCTCAAAAGTTGACAACGCATGTGTTCTTAGTTACTATCAGGTAGACTGTAAGTACGCTAGTCAATAAAATTATATAAAAAAATCTATATTGAATTGTACTGCAACTGTATTTCATGTCTGGTAAGATATGAATATTTATCACTAACGGATTTTCCAACAAACTTCCGAATTTAAAATAACTATTACAGTGTTTCGTACGGTGACTATAGATAACCGAAGACCATCTTAACCCCCTGAGGGTAAAGATGGTATTCGATTATCAAAGCATTTATATTTTGATTCTTAATCGAGGATAGATACATCCGTAGTTATCTGTTTGCTCCAACATCCACGGAATATTAGTTTATTTAGTACTTTTTATTTTGCTAAAGTTCACTACTAAACACGGGCAACCCCATAGATTGCCTGCTTAGTGCAATGGTTGCCACGCTTGGTAGGCTAGTTGTCAATCACAGCCTTTTTATTTTCTCATTGTTACTAGGAAGACACTGCTTTTCATCTCCTGGTTACATTCCATCTGTCACCTATTGACATCCACGGGACGATTTAGGGTAGTGGATATGCCCACACCGTCACTATACCAGTCACCATTGTTACAATGAAAAAATTACGAAGAAATGTTTAAATAGTTACAGTAACAAACACAGTTGATCCGACCATGATTTATAGATTCTATTCATTATAAATCAAGAATTTTTCATTTCATATCACATAACTCCGATAAAATCATGTATCTGTTGCAGTGACTACCATGGGAGTTGATGTCTGCAAAAACAGCGTCCTTAATAGTCAATACGAAGAAGCGTTAGAGAAGATCCTCAGCATTCTGATAGAAAGATTTCAAAAGTTCTGGCTGCACAATGACTTTATCTACAGCTGGTCTACTTTAAAGAAGAAGGAAGATCAGTGCTTAAGAATATTGCACAATATGTCAAATACGGTAAATAAAAATACCTTCTTTAATGTTTTACTATCGTTGTTATTATTGTTGGAGGTGAAGTTCACACAGCGCTGGTTCGCAAAGCACTCCTCTCCCTGGACACTCACAAGTCGAGTGGGCCTGACACAATCCCCCCAATTGTGCTGAGGACGTGTGTGCTCCAGAGTTGGCACCGGTCGCGTCTTTTTTGGTACTCCCACTCTCTAGGCGTAGTTCCAAAATCATGGAAGACGGATTTCGTCTACCCGATCCCTAAAAAGGCGACCGCTCAGACCCATCCAACTACGGGCCTATTACGGGCATACCTCCTTGTTCTCCAAAACAATAGAGTCCATTGTAAACTGCCAGCTCATGGGGTATCTTGAGGATCACCAGCTGATTAGTGATCGCCAATACGGTTTCCGTCGTGGTCGATCAGCTGATGATCTTTGGTTCTACCTAACTCATAGATGGGCGGAGGCAGTAGAGTCCCTGGTGGAGGCATTAGCCGTTAGTTTGGACATTGCGAAGGTCTTCGATCGGGTTTGGTATAAAGCGTTTCTTGCAAAGCTCCCTTCCTATGGGCTTCCCGAGAAATTGTGCAATTGGATCACCAGCTTTCTTGCAGATCGGAGCATCAAGGTCGTTGTAGACGGTGCAAGCTCCGATTACAAGCCTATTAATGCTGGTGTTCCACAAGGCTGCGTGCTATCGCCAACGCTGTTTTTTCTGCATATCAATGATATGTTGCAAGCCCGTAACATTCATTGATATGCAGATGATAGCACTGGTGATGCTCTGTACACCGGCCGTGCCAATAATTTTTGGCAAAACGTCTTCGAGTACCGGGACAAACTTGTGTCTGAAGTCGAGTCTTTGCTGAACAAAGTCTCGGATTGGGGGCGACTAAATCTAGTCCAGTTTAATCCTCAGAAGACACAAGTTTGCGCGTTAACCGCGAAAAAGAACCCCTTTGTCGTATCTCCTCAGTTTCAAGGCGCTCACTTTGTTGGCTTAGTCAGTATCGGAATCCTCGGCGTCGACATATCGAGTGACGTGCAGTTTCATGGTCACTTGGAAGAGAAGACCAAATGGGCCTCCAAAAAACTTGGCGTGCTCAGCAGAGCGGGACAGTATTTCATGCCGGCACACCGCCTGCAACTTTACAAGGCGCAGGTTCGGCCGCACATGAAATACTGTTCCCATCTCTGGGCTGGGGCTCCCCAGTGCCAGCTCCTTCCACTTGACCGCATCCAGCGCAGAGCAGCTCGAATCGTCGACGACCATGTGCTTTTTGAGCGGCTCGATTCACTGGTGCTACGAAGAGATGTTGCATCTCTTCGCATTTTCTTTCGCATATACCACGGGGAGTGCTCTGAGGAATTGTTCGGATTAATCGCAGCCGCCAAATTTCGTAAACGTACTACGCGGCAAACGTCCCGATACCATCCACACTATCTAGGTGCTTGGCGGTCCCCCACTGTACATTTCACAAGGAGTTTTTTTCCGCGTATGACCTTTCTGTGGAATAGTTTACCACCGGCGATTTTTCCGAACCGATAGGACCTAGGGACCTTCAAGAAAAGAGCTTACTCCTTTCAAAAAGGCCGGCAACGCACCTGCAATTCCTTTGGTGTTGAGGTTGATCATGGGCGGCGGTAGTCACTTAACATCAGGTCAGCCACATGCTCGTTTTTTTATAGAAACAAACTTGTGGTGGCAAACTTTTGCTCCCTTTTCTATTAAAAAAAAAAGCTTAGTAAAGCCAAAGCCTTTTCGTGAATTTCCTAGAACGCGTACAATCAGTCAGAATCCGATTTATGTCCGTATCTATGAAATTATTAATTGTAATTTAATTTAAGAACAAGTATACCACTTGCTCGATGGTGAAAGAAATTCGCTTGATTGAGATATAAAATATTTCTATAAAATGTTTTGTTGTTAAAGTAGCCTGCCTCTTAACTCTACATAAAAGACTTAGTCTGTAACGTTATTTTTCTTGAATATCAGTCTTGAATCTAAAATAAAAATAAACGGTAATCATTTAAAAATTGGTTTTTAATCAAGGTAATCTAAAAAAGTCGTGTGGTTGCTCAGATGGTTAACGCTCGCTGTAAATTTCACAGTACGCGAGCAACTTGGGTTCGATCCCCGCCGGCACCGATGAAATTGTTAATTGTTATTGTATGTGCTGATTAATTACGTGCTCGACAGTGAAGCAAAATATCGTGAGGAAACCTGCATGCCTGAGAAATAAGAAAAAAACATTTCCGAGACATGTGAAGTTCGCCTTGGGACAGCGTGGCAGACACTTCCTTGCCCTAAAACTTTCTCAGATATGAGAGGAGGAATATTCCAAGCAGTAGAACGTTTATAGGCCTTAAATTTAACTTAACTTCCTTAATCTAAAAAAATAATGAAGAACGTTTTTTTTCACTATCGTACATAATGGTTACAACAAAAACATTTAAATTAAGTTATATTACATTCTGTATATTTTCTGATCAGGTATTGCAAACACGTAAGGCTGCGTACATAACTAATAAGAAGAACGAATTGAAAACTTCAGGTGGTGCGTATCTTTATTAAAAAAATAGTAAAATGATTGTGGTTCATTGAAGAGTTTAGATTTAAACATTTGACTAATTTAAATATTTTAGATTCGCATCCAATCATACATATCATCACATTAAATATCCCTGGAAATACTTATTAAATATCCTATGGACAACTTTGTACGATTTTTTGACAGTGTCTTAACGCAAAGTCAAAGTTACTCGAATACCATTTATGCTTATTATATATTATAATCGCTATTATTAGCAGCTTTTTTATTCATTGTTGGATATTGGTTTCAAACCAGTCGCCATACTGAACCCGGTCTTCAGATAGAAACAAACTTGTGTAAATTACCGCTTTAACTATCCAGGAAGAGGCTTTATTATTTTTTCCTCAGTAATATTTTCAGTGCATGGCTTGTTTACACGGTTGTTACAGTTACGACGGATACAACTAGCCAGTTTACTGAAACTTTAGTTTGCCAACAAACTACGACGAACGAAAATAGCTCTCTCCCTCATTTGCTAAGCGGCTTTCTGTTTCTAGAGAGTTATACTGTTATTGTGTAAGTTTGGTTATCATATATAAATACTGGCTAGACACTCTGTTTGAAGTCGTTTCTAAAACTAAAGGCATGGCAAAGGCTTATAAACCTACCTTGTCTAATTAATCTGTGTATTGTATTTTTCTCAAAGTTGTTCCTAATTAATTACACTATTTAGTGATTGGTTTGATGTGGCCGTTAATCCCAGAAGATCGTTCAGTAGGTACTTGAACGGACATCGAACATGTTTTTGCAATATATTTGTCTCAACATCTTGGTGTACCTCCATTTAATGTGCCCTCGCTGCTGAATTCATAGCGGCCTTAGTTTTGATGGAATCAAAGTGTACATAATAAAATTATAAACCATTATCGTTATAAACTGTCAATAGCCAACTGCTGCCCCATAGATTGCCTCATACGGGTAACATTCGCCATTGTTGCCACCCTTCACAGGCAGGTTGGCAAACGCACTTTTAAGTATAGTACGTTTCTAGGGCAGGCGAAAAAAAGTACATTGACCTTTGACGATATCCGGGTAGGCAATCTTTTTTGTTAGGGTTAATTTTTTATCCTTTTATCATTACATACATCATCACAGTGAAAAATAAGGGTGCTGAGTGCGAAGTTCTTTATAGGCCCTATGTCTATTATTATATAATAAAGAAAGAAGATTATCCTGTACCTCAATGAATTAAAAGCAAATTAATATAAATTTAAGTTTATTATTTATAAATCATGAGTTATTACAATTTTCATTATTACGTTAATAGTAGATAAGTACTTTAATAAGTAGGTAGGTAGGTAGTTGTTTAAAACATAACCACTTCTTGGCAGTCAGGTAAAAAGATGAACTTTTAATGCTAAGGATTCTTAAGCAGCCAAACTTGAAGCATGCATAAAACTTGTCATAATAGATTGTCAGAGACACTTGATATACTATTCATCTGTATCTATTTCTAATCATTTTATGATGATGAAGACGTAGAAGAGTCCGTCACATTGATTATAACCTAAAATATCGGAAGTCTTCTTTTTCATATCAGTTTCGGATGGATATACGTCACTAAACCAGATTTCTTCAATCATTATTTTTTCGGTTTCCGAAATATGCAAGACTTTGGGCTTCTTTCGTGGTGACGTAGTCTTTATGAGATTTTCATGTCGATGGACTCTCGATGGACGCAAAACAATAACAAAAATTTTAATACATATATACATACATAAACACTCACGCCTGTCACCCAGAGGGGTAGGCAGAGACTACAGACTTCCATTTAGCACGACCCTGACATACCACTCTCGCCTCTTCCACATCCATATGCACCTACGCATACATGCTCGTCGGTTAAGGGTACTCTTAATTTGGCCCATTTTTAGTATATCGCCAATTTGGTCGACAAACTTCCGCCTAAGATGGACGTCCCTTTCCGACTCTTCCATTCACTTCTGCAACATATATTTGCTTTGTCAGTCTTTCCGCATTCATTCCTTCTACATGACCAAACCACCGAAGCATTCCTTTCTTAATTCTGGTCACTGCATCATCTTGCAAACCACACTCTTCTTTTATCACACAGTTTCTCACCCTGTCACTCAGATTCAGCCCTAACATACTCCTTAGCAACCATTTATTCTACTCTCGTGCTTCTTCTGCCACACCCAACTTTCACTACCATATGTGAAAGTAGGGACTAATACTGCACCCTTTTTTGACACATTCTGACTTTTCACAATAGAGTGTAGAGCCTCATTTACTTTATTTCCTGCATTCACTCGTTGTTCAATATCCTTATCATATCTCCCATCCCTGCTGAATACACATCCCAAATATACGAACTCATCCACTTGCTCAAATAACTCTCCTTCTATTCTTATTTCACATACCGTTTTGCTTTCTTCTCTTTCAAAAACCATCACTTTCGTCTTACTTGCGTTCACTTTCATTCCCCTTTCTTTTAAAGACCTGTTCATTAATGTAACCATCATTTGCAACCCGGCCGACGACGACGCAAGTAGGACTTGATCATCGGCGTACAAAAGGCATTTGATGGTTAACTCACCCATTCTTAACCCGCATTCTTCAACTTTCAAATTTTCCAAACAACTGTCCATAAATAGGTTGAACAGCCACGGGGAAGCTACACAGCCCTGTCCGATACCTTTATAGATGCCAAACCAGTCCGAGTAGACCCCGTTGATTCTAACACAAGCACTCGAGTCCCTATACAGAGACTTTAACGCCTGTATTAAACCAGCGCTCAACCTCAATGCGTTCAGCGTTTGCCATAACACATCCAGTCAGTCATACGCCTTTCCAAGTCCATGAACGCACAAAAAACTTTTTGGTTTTTCGCCAAAAACTTCTCCGCGAGCATGCGCATGGAAAAGACTTGATCTGTACACCCCATTCCCTTTCTAAATCCCGCTTGCACATCCCAAATTTTTTCATCAGTTTCTTTCATAACTCTTTCAATTAGCACCTTAGCAATTTTAATACAAAACGTAATAATACAACTAACAAAACAAACTCAATAAAAATGAAAACAACTACTATAACCGAAAATTTTAAATCTCAAACTATCTTCACGTAAGCGCATCCCAAAGCAGTATGAGAAATTAGTTCTGCTCCATCCGCTTTCTTAAATACGCATGGCATGAGACCTATCGCAAATTGCATAGAAACAGGTTTATTATCTCTGAATGACCGCTTCCTTTACCCTACCCCGTACCATAAGACACGCTAAGCGCATAACGATACGTAATCTATAAAGAAATATATGGAACAATAACTGTCGTTTTGTTTCGATGCTAACATAATAATTGGGGTCAATGTACTTTTTTCCGCCTGCCCTAGAAACGTACTATAGTAGTTATTATTTGGGTGATGCTATCGCACATCTCCTTTGTTTCGCTCTGTGGCCTCATACAGCATTCACAGTTCCATATGGAAAAGTTGATATTTTACACCTCTATTACATATTACACAATAAAGTATAATATAATCTCATTATATTCATTTGTTTTCAGTGTACTATATCTTATCGCGTATAGTGACGGTGTAAGAATATCTACTACGCCATATCTTGCCATGGGTGTCATCATCATTTATCATCATCGTTACAGCCCCTTACAAGTCCACTGCTGAACATAGGCCTCCCCCAAGGTATGCCACAAAGCACTGTTCTGAGCCACCTGCATCCATCCACTTCCTGCATGTCTTACCAGATCGTCATTTCATCTAGTGGCGCTCTACACTTCGTTTACCGGTACGAGGCTGCCACTCGAGAACCTTTTTTTCCTAACGGTTGTCGGTTCTTCGAGCTATATGGCCGGCCCATTGCCACTTCAACTTACTAATTCGTTGGGCTATGTCGGTCACTCTGGTTCTACTGCGGATATCCTCATTTCTAAGTTTATCACGCAGAGAAACTCCGAGCATAGCCCTCTCCATAGGTCGCTGAGCGACTTTGAGCGTCCTCATACGGCCAGCAGTGAAGGACCATGTCTCAGTTCCATATGTCATCACTGACAACACGCACTGGTAGTACAACTTAGTTTTCAGGTTTTGAGGTATACCTGACGAGAAGATGTGTCGTAATTTCCCGAACGCTGCCCAGCCGAGTTGAATCCGTCGATTGACCTCTCGGTCGAAATTGGACTTACCTAGCCGGATTATTTGTCCCAGGTAAACGTACTCGTCAACAACTTCGAGATTAGTGCTCCCAACAACTACCGGCATAGGTGTGACATGGACATTAAACATGATCTTTGTTTTGTCCATGTTCATCTTATGACCTATCCGTTGTGAGGCACTATTGAGGTCATTGAGCATTGTGCTTAAGTCCTCCAGCGATTCTGCCATAAGGACTATATCGTCGGCAAATCGTAGGTGAGTGATATACTCGCCATTGATGTTAATACCGTATCCTTTCCAGTCCAATAGCTTGAAAACGTCTTCCAATGCAGCGGTGAAGAGTTTCGGGGAAATAACGTCACCCTGTCTTACACCTCTCTGCAGATGGATAGGTTTCGTACTCTGGTTCTGTACTCGGATAGCCATCGTAGACCTACTGTATAAACACTTCAGCACTTCGATATACCGACAGTCAACTTGGCAACGCTGAAGAGACTGTAGCACCGCCCAAATTTCGACGGAATCAAAGGCCTTCTCATAGTCCATATACGAAAGGCAAAGTGGCAAATTGTACTCTTCGGACTTCTGTACAATTTGCCGAAGGGCATGTATGCGGTCTATGGTACTAAAGGCCGGCTTGTTCGGGAGGCTGGAAGTTGTCGAGTCTGTGTGCGAGACGATTCGTAATGACTCTCGAAAACAGCACGTAGACGCGGCTCAGAAGGGATATCGGTCTGTAGTTCTTCAAGAGGGCGTTGTCACCTTTCTTGAAGAACAAGACCTCCGTACTTCTGCTCCACGCCTCTGGTGTAGTGCCACCATTGAGGACGGAATTAAAGAGCCTCTGAAG